ATGTTCATAGCAGCACAGTTTGTAATAGATAAAACTTGGAAGTAGCCCAATTGCCCATCAACTAGAGACTGGTTAAAGAAGATGTGGGTTTTTAAAAATAAATTGGAGTACTACTCAGCCATAAAAATGAGAAATTAGAGACATTTATAGCTAAATGGATGCACATGGAGCCAATACTCTTTAGCGAAATAAATAGGACACACATGTGTAAATATCAAATAGTTTCTCTAGTGTGACAAACTGAAAGTGTAAATAAGGACTAAAATGTATAATAGATAATGTAAAATAGGAAGAAAAGGGCCAAAGGGGAAGGGGAGGTGGGAGGGGTAGGGGAAGGGAAAGAAGGAAATGGAATTAATATGAGAAAATGAAAAAAATGGACACAAAGTCTTTGTAAATAGGGAGGGATGGAGGGGTTAAGGGAGGGCAGGGGTATGGGGAAACAATAAGAACCAAGAGAGATTTTATAAAGGTACAAATTTCCAATGAGGAAAGTCATTATGTTGTATACCTTAAATGTACCAATAAAATTAATTTTAAAAAAAGTACAACTAGCGGGCTGGGGATTTAGCTCAGTGGTTCCATCACCTGCCTCGCAAGTGCAAGGACCTGAGTTCGATCCCCGGTACCAAAAAAAGAAAAAAAAAAAAAGTACAAGTTCCTTTTACCATGTGTGCAGGCCTGAGATCTGTCCCCAGAACCACCAAAGGTGGGAGGGTGATGTGGAGATATATTGTGCAAAACCAAACAAAACAAGGAGTTTATTATGGAGAAAATCTTGACTGTTTTCTTTTTTGACAGTGTCTCTCACTATGTTGGCCAGTCCTTCTGTCTTAGGCTCCCAAGTAGCTGAGAGTACAGTCATATGCTCAAATTACCTTTATTAATCCTGAATAATTGAAAATCACAGGAACATGGTACATCTTTCTGGAATGACAATGTAATTTATTAATATTTTAAATTTATAATTTCTTAAACTTAAATGGGAAAATTAGGAAGTATTTTATAAAAAAATGAGTGTTTAGACAAAACATGAGTCTTCAAATAAATGTGATGTTTGCTTGTCTCCCTAGGCCACTGGTTATATAATTCATTTATCTGGGCTTTTACAGGACATTAGCAAACAAGTTTGTACTACCATAAAATAATTAAGCTGGGGAAAGAAACCTTGGACCCACCTTTGGACTCCGAAGCTCCCAGAAGCCCACAGAAGCAAAAAACATGATCTTTCCTTTGGAGCTATATCATTCTGCTTAGCCTGACAATCACAGCATCTTGCCCTGCTACGACTGAATTAAAGTGTAGGTATGTGATTTAAACGAGACTAAGTCCTTTTTTGAGTTCATTCACTTATTTCTTTTTATATATAAAACCTAAAAGACAGGTATTTTCTTCTTTCCAGAGTTGCACCTGTAAGGAAAAAGAAACTTGGCAACAGTGATCTGAACCTCTAACAGGTGCACCACTGCCATCCTAGTGAAATAAGCTTGTCGATCCCTTTTACTCTAAAGACTGTGTGGCTTTCCTGACTTGAACTGAAAGAATATTGAGCAATGACTAAAATGCCATAGAAGTCTGTGAAAAACAAACATTGTACTATATGACTATTGCAATCCACATTTCACGATGTTTTGTCGCACCAAAATCATGTTGAGAATCATTGAAAGACTTTCAAAACATAGATGACAAAATGTAAAATCTTGAGCAATGTGGGGATGATACAAAACTGGTATATTGGAGGCTTTGTGTAATGGCCATAAAAAGCCTGATCACTTTCATTCAAAGCTCGTAAAGAGTTAATAAATTAATAAGAATAAACCAGACAACAGGGGGAGGCCAGCAGAAATATCATGGGTTTGAGGTTAGTGTCCCCGAGTAGAGCTCTTCTATTTCCTCAGACAATCCTCAACTTCTGGGAGTTTAACTTTATAATGGTGCTAAAGTGATAAGCGTTCAGTAGAGCTGTAATTCAAATTTTGAATTCTACTTTTTTTCAGGTTAGTGATACCAAGATTCTAGGGAGCAGAAGCCATGCAATTACAAGGGTAAACAACTGATCCCCTGTAGTGCACTCACTGTGTTGCTAAGCTGTGACACTCAGTAGGTTAGGAATCTTAAATGCAGTTTCCACTTATGATATTTCCAGCTGAAGATGGGTTTACCAAGTCATGGCTCCATGGTGAGTCTAGGATCAAAGGTAAGTCAGTTCATATTTTTGCCTCATTTAATTCATCTGTCTTATAAAAATATTTTCTTTATACTTCATAGGGTTGTTTGAAAAAATAGATCATATTAAAAGCTAAGAAACCGGTTATATAAGACTGTTATACCGTATTGTAACTACATTTAAAAAAGTAGCTATTTGCCAAGTTCAGGCCAGCAAACCCTGTTAGAGACCAGTGAGGATGTGAAAGACAGAGAATATCTTTGTCAGGGGGCAGGTTACTACACCAGAATGGAGTGAAGCCCTGAATTGACTCAGACCCCCAGATTTATTGAGGAACAACAAAGGCATAGAGTTCTTTCGGGCACAGATGCTTGTTTTAGGTAGTAAGGCAGGCAAGCAGGGCATGGTGACAATTTGGGTGAATAGTTAACTTTCATCTGATGTCCCCCCAGGAGCTACCTTGTTTTCCCCACAAGGCACATCTCTGCCGGAGTTGACAAAGCACCCCATCTTCTACATGTGTTGGCAGTCTTCCCCCTCCTGAGTCAACCCGAGCAGACCCTGACTCATCGGTTATTGCAAGGAACTCCACAATTATTTTAGTTGAATTTTCTGTCATTGTAGATAAAACTGCAATTTTGCCATATCTGAAAACAAATGACTTATTTCACATGTACAATGCCATTTAATCCATTAAAAAGCACAGTAAAAATTTGAGTATGATTATCTACCTTTCAGAGAAGCTTCTGAAAACAAGCACACTTTGAGAATGTGGCTGAATTAAACCGTGGTTCCTTATCACAATGAAGCTTTCTGGGCAGTGAAAGAGGATTTAAAAACAACTGTTTCAGTGCACTGAAGAAGAAAGGGTTTTGTTATATTTAGTGTTTGATTGATTTATACTTTATTATATTTTATACATGATGTTTTCTTCCCAGGCATAAATTTATCCCAAAATCCTCCCTCTGGTATTAACTTTATTATAAATGTCTACAGGGTAATTGATACCATGAGAATATATTTAATTTCCCTCCCATGTGATTCTAATATTCAGAAGAGAAACACATGTTCTTAGAGGAAGGGAAAATGAAAAAGCAGGAAAACTGCCTACAGAGAAAAATTTCAATATAAATTCTACTAGAACAAATATCTGGGAGATTACAGATATTAAATGCATCCTCCAAGAGAGTAAATTCTATTGTGTGAAATCCGAGTGATTTATCCTAAGGTAAAGAGAGTTCTAGAGATGAAATCAGGAAGTGACAAAGCCTTCTAATGTCAGTTCTTGTTTGCTGAGAGGTGACCACCTGCCAGACAGATAATAAGAATGTGACTCTCAGATATCTGACTCGCAGCTCATACTTTTAACCATTTTTGGTGACAGCTTTCTATCTGCTGAGTACCACTCTAAGCACTTTATACCATCTCAATTAATCTGTACTAGTAAAGTAGGTATTAATAGCCCGATTTTAGAAATAAAGAAACCGAGACTTAGAGCAGTTAAATAACATGCCCAAAGGCAGTTAGCTTTTTCTCTTTGTTTGTTTTTAAAGACTGGACTTATTTTTTCAGAGCAGTTTTAAGTTCAGGATAAAACTAGAGGAAGATGGTGAGATTTCCCACATACCCCTCGCCCTCACATTCATTGTCAGTGTCCTCCCTCATTATCAATGTCCTGCACTACTGTGGTACTTTTACTACAAAATCATGAACCTACACTGATACATCATTATCTCCAAAAGTCCACACTTGTATTAGGGTTCATTCCTGGTGTTGTACATTCTATGCATTTGGGTAGAAAGTTAGGTTTTCAAGCCAGGTCTTTCTGTGACTATCAACTCTTAGTTGATTCTAAGGACTGAGCTTTAGGAGATCCTGACGTCTCACACAGGTAGGGACTGTTTCTGCATGAATGTTGGGTCCTGGTCTTGACCTCCCGTCTTATTATGGGCTGGTGGAATTCTGCTCCACCAGCTTTTATGACAGTGATTGCAAACTCACTCAGTCTTGACACTGGAAGGAAGAGTCGTTTGTTGAATAGGCATGACAGAAGGTTCCTCTGCAGTTTTTGCACACATTCTTCACCAGGCTGCCATCTTCCTAGCAGAGCTGACCCACCTGCACCCTTTCAGAGAGAAGTGTCTGATCCTGCTATTTATAGAGTGAGCCTGCAACCTGTGGCTTTCTTCCAGGGGCTTTTTTAGTGTAATATTTTCCTCTTGAATTTTGTATTTCCCATCCTTGGATTCAGGCTTCTGGGACTCTTTCTTGAGATGCTTCTGCTGTTTTGTAGCCTGCCTTCCTTTCTTTTCTTTTTTCTTTTCTTTTTCTTTTCTTCTTTTCTTTTCTTTTTTTCTTTTCTCTTCCTTCCTTCCTTCCTTCCTTCCTTCCTTCCTTCCTTCCTTTCTGTCCTTCTTTTCTTTGTTTTGGAACTGGAAATTGAACTTGGGATATATTCTCATCTACGTCCCAGCCTTTAAAATTTTTTTTTATTTTGAGACAAGATCTTACCAAGTCATCAGGATATTCAGGCTGGGCTCAAATTTGTGATCCTCTTGCCTCAGCCTCTCAGAGTGCTGGGATTACAGGTGTGCATCACCACACTCGGCTTGTAACTGTCTTTCTTTTTCCCATAAAATAGAACTAAACATTCCAACTCAAGCTGTTCCACTGCTTGGTGAGATCCTCCTCTTCCAGCTGCAGACTGTTGATCTTTTCTCTAAAGTCCTGTTAACGATGTGGTTGTCCAGCTCAGCAGACAGACAGCCTTTCTCAGCCTGGCGCAATCTTTGTTATAGTTGTTTAATGGTACCAGCCATATGATTAGTTTTCTCTTCCAAGTGACTGTTTAGTTCTCCTTTTCTATTTTAATCGTAAGTTTGAACTCTGCAACTTGAAGCCAAGTTAGTTCGTGGTTGAGAGCCTGAGATCACCCAGCTGCTGCTGCAGAGACACCAGACTATCTTGCTTCTCACAGACTTTTCTCCAGGGTCTACATGGTCCGTTCCCTCCTGTCTCATGCTGATCTGTGTGTCCAGTTCTTCTGAACATTCAGTCATAAGTGTCTCCTTCTTTAAATGCTTTCTTGCACCACTTAGCTCTTGCCTGTCTCAGTTCTGTCTGGCTTCCTGGGGAAGGGGGCGGGGGAGACTCAAAACGAATGGTGCTGGAACAATTATACTTCCATAAGCTAAATACATAAATAAGCTTCATAACCCATGAAAATTCAGAATCGATCCTTAAATGTAAGACATTTAACTTTTAGACAAAAATTTTCGGAAAAAAATAGAAAATCTTTAGGACATAGGGCTACACAGAAAATTCTTAGACTTAATATAAAAAACATGATTCATAAAAGGAAAAATCAATAAATTGGAGTTTATCAGAATTAAAAACTTTTGCACTGTTAAGAAGATGAAGAGGCCAGGCATGGTGGCACATGCCTGCAATCCCAGCTAATTCTAGTTTTAGAACAAATACAAAATACACATAAAAATTTAGCATTGTGGCACTGACATTAACAATTGTGTACAAAGATTCATTTTCTTACTAAAAAAGTCCTAATTTTCTTCAGCTGTGCGATTGCATTCTTATGCTTATCTTCCTAGCACTTTTACAGAATGTTATAGGACAGTGATGGCCAATGTTTTAGAGCTTTCAATGGTACAAACAGTGCACTGCAGGGTATGTGCAATAGGTTTGCTGCCACTTCTATAAGATATATGTAGATTTGAGTTCTGAAACAGAGCTAGAAGAAATGCAAAAGAAATAGAACGTTAAGTCTTGATATTTAGTTTAGGATGCCCAGTGGCCACATCAGTATGAGAATATACTGTTTTGTGCCAAATGGAAGTGGATATTGTAAGGTTCCCTGCAAAGGTCTACCAAGCACCATCTGCTTTTCCAACCAAGGCTTTATGTCTCATCCTTCTTGGACTGTACTACAGCTCATGCACACTGCATATTTTCCTTAGTTCTTTCAGTAGTGCAGCTTCAAAATGCTCTCATTATAGATTACCTGAGGTTGCATTCTGAAGCTAAAGGCAGAGTAGTTTGTGAGGGGGCTGGGAATAGGCCCATGAAATTCAAAGTTGCAAATGCATTTCTTAAAAAAAATCAGGTTCCTCCTCACCCCAAAGTAGACTATAGGAAATAGTTTCTTCTCACTTTCCCATTTGTTTCATTTTTCTTTTTCATTATTTTGATATTGGTGTGACGTCTGTACATGTTTTAGATATACTCCAGCAAGATAAACACAGAGCCTTACTCCTACGGGAAGTTTCCATATGGGTCAGTGCACTTTTTAAAACATATAAATAGCAGATTAATTTGGGATTTGAGAAAACTTGACATTAAGACCTTGTTTTAGTTACTTTCTTCATTGCTGGTACAAAATAACTGGCATCCACAATTTAGGGAAGGAGAGTTTTATTTTGGTTCACAGCTGGCTCCAAGGCAGGGTGGCATGGCAGAGGGGAAACTGCTCATGGCATAGCAGGCAGCAAGCAGACAGGAATCAAGGGAGGAAGAGGGGAGATAGCCCCTTCCAGGCCATACCCACTGGGATCCTCCTCCTCCAATCAGGCTTCACCTCTCAATATCACATTTAGCTATAAACGTATTGGTAAACGAATCCACTGATGAGTATCATGCCCCTGTGGTCCAATGACCTCACAAAAGCTCCATCTATGAACTCATGAGGCTTTGGGGAGATATCTAGATATAAACCATAACAGACCCCATCCAAGATCCACATACTTTAGTTTCCTCTAAATTTGCAAAGCAGAAATATAGAGTTAAAATGAAAAATTATTACAGACTCCCTAAAAGGTCTTATTTTTACAAAGGATTGCAGTATATTTAAATGAAATTGTTTATGTCACTGTATACATTTTTACTTAAGACTTTCTTAATAAACTACTGAAGGAGTGAACGAGTTTATCAGATTATCAATGCACAATGGGTACTATCATCCATGTCTGAAACTTTATTAGTTGCACTGAAAATTAAATAGAACAAATAGGAATGGTTATTATTGAGTATAAAGTTGGAAAATAAGACTGATACACTTTAAGAATATTTCAGGGAGGAGAAATTTGATCTGAGCCTTGAAATTGATTCAAAAGGCATTTGAGCCAGACCCAGGAGATCTCTGTGTGTGTGTCAGAGCTCACCATTCAATAGTGGTGATGTTCTCTATAAAGCGAGACTAATTCCTTTTATTGTGATTTGTGGCTAAGATACAAAAACTACAAAAACACTTCTGCTAAAGACCTATTCCCTATGAAAATTTTTGTGTTTTTGAAGTACTGGGGATTGAATCCAGGATCTATGCACTAAATTATATATCTCCAGCCCTTTTAAAATTTTATATTTTGAGGCAAGGTCTTGCTAAGTTGCCCAGGCTGAGTTCAAACTTGTGACCCTTCTGCTTCACCCTCCCGGAGTTCCGAAATTATAGGTGTGCACCACCATAGCCAGTTTGGGTGATCATTTTAAATGATTTCAATGAAGCTCACGTATTACCTCTCTGTGCTCACATGATAGTTAAGATGTAATTTTGTATTCTATTCATTGTGGCTGTATGAAATTACTGTAGTTTGGAACATCCTTGTGCTTAAAATATAGGAACAATGAAATATCAAAATAAACAGACTGGACCCTAAGTGCATGTGAACTCAAAGAAAGCAGAACATTAAGTAACATTTCTTT